ACAGACTACATCAGTGGTTCTTAACCTTGTTAGAGGTACCGAACCCAACCAGTTCATATGCACATTCACCGAACCCTTCATTAATGAAAAATAAAAATCTGATTTTTCTTACAAATTCAAGATATAAAAAGCGCATTTATTAAAACCAGAAAAAAAAATTAACAACACCCACAAAAGATGTGAGCTTCCCGTGAATTATCCAGCCTGTGTTGCTGAATCAATTCTAATTTTGAACGTGTTTTTTAATTATTATGATTAAATGCGTCACATAGCGACCAATCCCTCGTCGGACTTCGGAAGACGAGTAATGTCTACACATTGCAATTCAAGAGGGGGAACAAGAAGTCATTCGTAGTGCAACAATCTTGAAAAATAAGGCATGCACAATACTAAATAAAAATACATTCAAATATAATTAAGCGTAAAGCGATGAATTGCTGCAAGCTGTCAAACTCGGCAGGTCGGAAGTGTCAACAGACTACGAAACAAAAAAACTGGTCAAGCGAGGACAACATCTATCAACGTTCAATATTTTGGAACAAACCTGGACTGGTGACACACACACTGTCCGTACAGTCCATTGGCAATTTGGTTTGTTCTGACACTCCACAGTCGAATCAAAGACAAATTGTTGGTGAGCCTCGAACAGGACAGCGCCATGTCTGAACGAGACAACTTCCGCGTCGTTACCGTAATGGCGGAAATGCACGGAAACAACACCCACAAAAGATGTGAGCTTCCCGTGAATTACCCAGCCTGTATTGCTGAATCAATCTAATATTGAACGTGTTTTTTAATTATTATGATTAAATGGTTTTATCAAACAATCAAACATATTGCACGGTATATCCTGTAAACCGACGCGATTGCATTTATGAGCTAAACAGGTATAAAGTCACAAACTACATCAGTGGTTCTTAACCTTGTTAGAGGTACCGAACCCAACCAGTTCATATGCACATTCACCGAACCCTTCATTAATGAAAAATAAAAATCTGACTTTTCTTACAAATTCAAGATATAAAAAGCGCATTTATTAAAACCAGAAAAAAAAATTAAATACATTTTCAAGACATAAGTGTAAGTTTTTTTTAATTGTGCACAGAATGAACCAGCCACTGATGGCCAAGCGAGCGTGTCATAACTATTTGACATGTTGAGTCGGATGTGTCTTAATCTCCATGGCAGAGGCTCCGTCGAACTCCTGAGACCGATTCACCGAACGCCTAGGGTTCGATCGAACTACCAGGTTAAGAACCACTGCTCTACATTGTCCGAATCGACCGGCCGTACAAGGGTGTGCTACAAGCCTTACTGCGCATGTGTGAAATGGCTGGGCATCATTACGGCAGTCGTATTAAACCAAAGGGCGCTCCTAATTTGCACAGCGAGGGAATTTATTATTATGAATAAATTTTATTTGTTTGACAAGAAATATAAAAATGCATTAAAAACACTAATCTTTTTAATGTTTCTTCAGTTTTTGTTGTTGCGTTCCCCTAACAATCGCTTATAATTTGTCCAAGAGGAATTGCCGTACAACTTGTGTTGCAGCGCTAGTTCCGTATACAGTGAAATGCAAATTTTCCCCAATAACATCGCGATGGAGTCCGTTTTCTTGAGGTTCGACTCTTATGATTTTGAAGCTGATCGAAGGTTCCAACAAGGCCTGCAGACATTACACGCTGGCGTCTCTAGGAAAGAAACGAACATACTCGATGCAAAACTCTTCTTTTATAACAGGTGGGAAGCGCTACATATCCACACGATTGGACCGCCAGTCATAATAAAGCCAATTCAACACAACTACCTGTGCACCCTAAGAAGAATATATTATTTGTTGCAACTTTTTAATCTATAAAATCATGAACTATTCAACAGAAAGATACAAATTGCAATACATTTAATATTTAGCCACAGGCGCTAATTTAATTTGTAAAATCACAGTCAGTGTTGCGATCTTGTTTTTGTAGCTTTAGTATTTTAAGTCCCGCTCAGAAACAAACTTGAGGAGAATTACTTGGACATTGTTTTGCGTATGTCAAGTAAGACCAATGAAAGGCAGTCAGGCTGCTGAACATTGCTTTCGGCTTGGTTCACGTCTATGTTGGAAAATCAGTAATTTTTGCACATTTTGGACAGGAGATATATGCTTCAAAGTCGTATACATTTTGTTTATGTCGCTCTTGCCTCACCTATGAAAGTCTACATGGAAAAAAAAAAAACACTTATTGACCTACAAGTGATGATTCTGATTTCGGAACTGCTGCCGACATGCAGTATGTCGCTCTTGCCTCACCTATGAAAGTCTACATGAAAAAAAAACACTTATTGACCTACAAGTGATGACTCTGATTTCGGAACTGCTGCCGACATGCAACGGATGTGTCTTAATCTCCATGGCAGAGGCTCCGTCTAACTCCTGAGACCGATTCACCGAACGAACGCCTAGGGTTCGATCGAACCACCAGGTTAAGAACCACTGCTCTACAGTGTCCGAATAGACCGGCCGTACAAGGGTGTGCTACAAGCCTTACTGCGCATGTGTGAAATGGCTGGGCATCATTACGGCAGTCGTATTAAACCAAAGGGCGCTCCTAATTTGCACAGCGAGGGAATTTATTATTATGAATAAATTTTATTTGTTTGACAAGAAATATAAAAATGCATTAAAAACACTAATCTTTTTAATGTTTCTTCAGTTTTTGTTGTTGCGTTCCCCTAACAATCGCTTATAATTTGTCCAAGAGGAATTGCCGTACAACTTGTGTTGCAGCGCTAGTTCCGTATACAGTGAAATGCAAATTTTCCCCAATAACATCGCGATGGAGTCCGTTTTCTTGAGGTTCGACTCTTATGATTTTGAAGCTGATCGAAGGTTCCAACAAGGCCTGCAGACATTACACGCTGGCGTCTCTAGGAAAGAAACGAACATACTCGATGCAAAACTCTTCTTTTATAACAGGTGGGAAGCGCTACATATCCACACGATTGGACCGCCAGTCATAATAAAGCCAATTCAACACAACTACCTGTGCACCCTAAGAAGAATATATTATTTGTTGCAACTTTTTAATCTATAAAATCATGAACTATTCAACAGAAAGATACAAATTGCAATACATTTAATATTTAGCCACAGGCGCTAATTTAATTTGTAAAATCACAGTCAGTGTTGCGATCTTGTTTTTGTAGCTTTAGTATTTTAAGTCCCGCTCAGAAACAAACTTGAGGAGAATTACTTGGACATTGTTTTGCGTATGTCAAGTAAGACCAATGAAAGGCAGTCAGGCTGCTGAACATTGCTTTCGGCTTGGTTCACGTCTATGTTGGAAAATCAGTAATTTTTGCACATTTTGGACAGGAGATATATGCTTCAAAGTCGTATACATTTTGTTTATGTCGCTCTTGCCTCACCTATGAAAGTCTACATGAAAAAAAAAACACTTATTGACCTACAAGTGATGACTCTGATTTCGGAACTGCTGCCGACATGCAAGGATGTAACAATTATGGAGTCAAAATCATATCAGCGCTTTTGATTGATTAACTATATTTTGTTTTCCAGATGTATGCTTTGTTTTTTTTAAACGACACAACATAACTTTCGGCCTTACACCGCAGAGGGTTACAACTAGTTTTCCGTTCACAGCAGTGCCTTGGGGTGCACATTGCCATTAGACTCCCTATGTCAAAGAAATGAAATATTTTCCTGTCATGACTTTCATGTCTTTTGTCCCAGGTTTGTGGAGCCCATGGACTCCATCAGTTACAAAGCGTGGTCCAACTCTGCTTCCAGAGTGTTGCCTCCATCACGCAGCGACTCTGAAGGACAGACGACCGAAAAGTCTGAAGCGTCACAAGTCAAGTCGCTTTCCTTCGCTGAGGTGATGCGGCTCGTGCAGGAGGGCAAAGACGTGCCTGGAGTTAGAAAAGTGGACATACAGGCAAGCAATCAGAGTGCGACTCCATCACAAATGGAAAGAATACGCAAACCCTGGGAAGTGGCGTCAGTGCCCAGGTAACAAGTCACCCAATAAGTCACCTTTTCGTTTTTATTAGAAGCCCTTGTTTCATAAACATGTGAAAAAGCATATAACCGATTGTTCTGAATTTGAATGGGTTTAAGTTGGACAGGGCTTCATTTTGAGAAGAGGAACAGGAGCTAAAAGTCAGATCTTGCAAAAATGAACAAGATTTGACGTCTTTGTTGGAATGGGACAGCAAATGCTTTGGCCCTGGCCTGTTGCGTTAGTTGCCCACCCTTTTTTGGATCATCATCTTATGAACTACACCCAAGCATGGACTCAACATCTTTTTCATTGATCAGCTCATTGGAAGAGTTTCCCAAGCTCTTGGTGAGCCAGGACATATTTGGCATTAGAGGAGAATCCCGCGGCGCACCAAGAAACCAGAATGGATCGGAAATGTCTCTTCTCCCTCTGCTCATGAATTGGCTTACTTAGTTTGAAATGAAATGTCAAATGTTCAGTCAAACTCGTTTTCTGTTGTGTGATGTCAATAGTCAAAACATTATACACATTTGTTGTTTCTTCTCCCATCCAGTGGAAGAGCAATGAATTGTTCCGCCTGTTTATAATACTCTACTTCGCTGGCATAAATCGATGAACAAAGGTACATTTGAATATCCATCCATCCATGATCTGAACTACTTATCTTCACAAGGGTTGCGGTTGTGCTGAGCCTATCCCACATTGAAGCATAACAGGCGATTGAAAGGGATTGATGCATTAAAAAAATACTCCTCATGTGATGGGATTGTTGTTGTTACACAAATTTCATTTATGTGGGCTCAGCTTAACCTTCCGCACAGATCAAAAGATGACAAAGTCTGGAACTGTTAGCATAGCGCTAGAGGTAAAATGAATGAATAAATCCCGTTTGTAACTATGAGGCTCGTATTGATGCACAACAGGACAATAAATGTGTCACAGTAAGTTCTTCTTTATGAAGGCAGCAACATTTTGTAAACTTCCAGTCACAGTGGAATGCTTCAAATAAAGCAACGATCAATCCAGTAACGTGGAGGCACACTAGACGGACTTTCTGACAGTGGGACAGTTCATACATTGAAAAATATGTCAAATCAACTCATACATCACAAACATCAAGATTAAAAGAAACTTAATAAGTGGATTTGCACCAAAAAAATCCAGCACCAGTATATTGCATTTTCATCATCATCATCATCATCATCATCACGCTCACAATAACTAATACAACATCCATGTTGGCTAATGGCAGTTTGTCTTAAAAAACAAAACAAAAAATAAAGCGACATTTCTTCTATTTATGAAATTCATAAAAACTATAAAAATAAGAGTAACGGAAGAACTGAGGTAGAGAACAGCGGCCTGTGTCAGGAAGCAAGTTCAAGACAAAAAAGGGACGTTCAACATGATACCTAAATATGACAAATAAAGATACAGTATATTTTTTCAGAAATCACCTTTTGCGGGGGGGGATAGGGGGCGGGCTGTCGTTTCAGTAACTCAGTGACTTCCAAAGATGACTTTTTGGTAAAAAGAAGAAAAAAAAACCCAGTGTTTTCGGTGATACCAACTGATTGTGTTCTGCTTGTTACGAAAAAGCAGAAAAAGCTCAAAACAAGAGAAGAGTCAACACTTTCTCTTAATAGAATAATTTGGCACTTATATTGTGACAGAACACAATATTTTGCGGATCATGAAAGATGAGTCAAAATACTTGCCCCTCTGCTTGGAAAACGGTTGGCAGTCACTGAGTTGATGAATGCGAGCCACCAAGCTTTTGATTTGAAGAAGTTGTTGCAATGAAAGTGTGCTGAAGGGGAGAAGGGGGCATTTGACCTTTTCAGGGACAGCGGTTACTTCAGTGGACAGCTCATCATGTTATCAGGTTACAGGGTGCACGAAAGGGTTCATCTTCTAAAACAAATGATTTCAGCTGCCTCTGTCCTGGCGGACGCACGCGGAATTAATTCACTGAGGTATTAAAACGAGCACATAGCATGCAAGCAGTTTCATTCAGCCGTCGTGCTCACTTGGTCTAAAAACTAACAGCCTAAAAATACTTGCTGATGAGGATGCAGGCCAGCTGTGCTGTTGCTAACATAATACAGTAGATTGTAGCACCATTTAAAAGGGGAATTTGAAATTGAACAACCACAAAAAAAATCACTTTTGTCATATTGGTTAACAATAATGATTTAACATTTGTGCATGAAGTGGAAAACTCATCTTGTGTTAAATTTGATCCATGGCCATGCTTGTATCTCAGATCGCTTTTCCCCATTGAAAAGAATGGAAATACAATTAATCCATTCCAGCGCCCTTCCCTAAAAAAATCATTTTTAATGTGTTTTCTCATTCAAACCGCCCCCCAAAAAAACAAAAAACAAACAAACAAAAAAGCACTCAACAGTTGTGTACTTCACTAACTGTGTTGGGAATCATTCATTCATTTCCAAATCACGACACTGTGGTTTTTCCAGATACAAGCAGCTTGACTTAATTTTTTTTTCCACATTTGAGCCAACATTTGCCCATTTTTTTGGTCCTGAGATGTGAGCAAAATTCTGATCTTTCCTAAATCACTCCATAAGGCTTTTTATACAGTGAACCTAGATAGCGCCACTGAAAATCCTTTAGTCCTGATTTGTGAATTGGGAATAGTGACTGAGTGTGAACACAGGGACTGTGTTACTTTTGGTCTAGAGATATTAGCACAATTGTCGTTATTCATATTCATATATAGTCCACTACATCAAAATCCCCGTTTAGCAACTGGGGGTGGGGGGGGGGGGGGGAATTTGGGGGGGGGGGGGGGGGTGAATTTTGCTCTCAAGAAAAAAAAAAAAAATCAATCAATGGATCGCTCGTATCTTGAAAAATGTGAAAGTCAAGGCACTCATGTGTCAAGGCACAACTGAACAAAAACAAAACAAAACAAAACACTGAGTCTGAGGAAGGAAACAGCCACCGTGAAACAAAAGGCGTGACTTATGAGGTGTCACTCTCCAGTTGTGCGCACTCATGCAGGCACACACCTGAAAATGAGTCACAGGTCATAAAGCCACACCTTCTGTTTCTGATTGGTTGTTTTCCTCAGAAGTGGTGTTTTTTTGCCAATCAAATTATAGGCACAAGTTTGAGCGAGAGATGGCAGATTATTATTTTTTATAATCCCCACCGACAATCACCACACACACAAGCACACAGATCATTTTTAGCATGTACCACAGGCAGGCTAGAATGGTAGTTTTAACAAATATGACAAAAGTGATTTTTTTGTGTCTGTGTTCTATTTTTAAAGCACATACTTCCCTTTAATCAACGAGACATTTAAATGTTTTTAAAATTCATGACATTAAAAACAAGGTTTAAAAAAAATCAGTCCGTGAATTTACTTTCTTTCCTCAGTTGCGAGAGGCAGGGTACGCCCTAGACTGGTGGCCAGCCAATCGCAAGGCACATTTCGAAAAACAGTCATTCACACTCACATTCTCACACAAGGCCCGTTTACACGCATGTTTTTGTAATATGGGAGGATACGACCTGCAGCGGCAAACATTTGGTGTTTCAGGAAGAGCCCTGGCGCCAGTGCGTGGAAGTCTGCATGCGCCGACAACCTTACGGACCTGACTGGTGTGATTCACATTCAAAATAATCCTTGAGCGGCGCCATCAGGTGGCGGATGACGGCGACGCTCCAGGAGCGCCCCAGGACTCTCTGGCGCTGCATGCGGCCCATGTTGTTCACGTCCGTGTAGTGTTTGGGAAAACCAAAAATCCTACACACACACACACACACACACACACACACACACACACACACACACACACACACACACACACACAACAAC